AATGCTTGATGAAAAGAGTTTGTTCATTTATTTAATCATAGAATCATAGAATGGTTTGGGTTGGAAGCGACCTTAAAGATCACCTAGTTCCAATTCTTCTGTCATGGTCAGGGCCACCTTCCACTAAATCAGGTTGCTCAAAGCCCTGTCCAACCTGGCCTTGAACACTTACAGGGAGGTCTTATGATGTATGTTAATACAATGTATGTCCAGACTACAGCTTACAGTGCCTTGGAGAATACCCCAAGAAAAACACAGACCAAAAAAATCACAGAAGTGAGACAAATAAGTTATCCAAATGTTTTATCACATGAATGTCAAATGTATAAAGAAAAAATTGAAATAACCACATACAAAAATAAAAGCAAATGGATCTCTATTAATGAGATTATTTTCATTTTTAAAATAAACATAACATAAAGGTTATAAAATCTGTCATGTCAGTAAGGGAAAGAAAGTGAATATTAGTGAACACAGAAACATAAATTAACCTCACAAATTTCAGTCCTTGCTAGTCCAATTCTCAACTGTCAGCAAAAGTATATTTCAGTTCATTCAATTTTTACAATGAAAAATGCTTTGAAAAAATGCTTTGTGATGTTCTGAACCATAACATTCAGTATTTCCATATGCAGTAAAAACCGCACTGAAACATGAATCTAAGACCATATGTGAAATCAAATGTTTCAACTTTATTTTAACCCCATCTTAAGCTTTTGCCTTAAATTACTTTTTTCTACTTACTAACCTTGATAAGCTTCTCCCTGAAAATTCCTAGTTCCCTTCCTATGTGTGCTGGGTATGGCTGGGGCGGAGTTAATTTTCTTCACAGCAGCCCATACAGTGCTGTATTTTAGATTTGCAACCAAAGCAGTGTTGATAACACATCAGTGTTTTAGCTGTTGTAGGCTGGGGTTAGGAGGGGACACAGTCAAAAGAGCTGACAAATTGACCAAAGAGATGTTTCATCCCGTATACCGTTGTGTTCAGCAATACAGCCCAGGAAATTAGTTGCTTCTCTGAAACTGGCTGGGCCTCAGTCTGCTGGTGGGAGCTGGTGAATGATTGCCTTTGCATTGCTTTATTTTTTTTTTAATTTTTTCTTATCAAACTGTTTTTATCTCAACCCATGGGTTTTTCCTCACTTTGGCCCTGTGATACCCTCCCCCATCCTGCCGTGGGGGAGTAAGTGAACAACTGGGTGGAGGCTTAGCTGCCAGCTGGGGTCAACCCACCACACTATTTTTAGCTCTAATGAGTATGCTAGGTCTCTATCAGAACTGCGTGTGGCTTCTCAGGGGAGCACAGAAGGTTAAATTTGGTTGCCCTAAAACAAAGAGCTGTGCTGCTCCTGCTCCTGGAACAGGAAAAGCTGGGAGAGTCAGGGGGATTGGGAGAGCCCTGACAAATTCAGCTTGGTGCTCTTGTTCTTCCCAGACACCTGCAGAGAGGTAGATAGAGCAATTGAAGCTGCTGTTGGAAGAGGGTGCTCCCATCCTCTGTCCCCATTCTCCTTCAGGGATAACCTATTTTGCATGCAGTCTCACCCACACATGTGCAGGGGCAGCAGCAGCAGCCAGCCTGGCTTTCCAGGGTTCAGAAATGGGAGAAGTAGGCACCAGTGACTCCACTGTGCTGCCACACCAACAGTTTGTTCTCCTGAGGCACAGCGTGCTCTGCCTGAGCTCAAAGCCAGCCTTGAACTTCAGAATGCTTTTACTAGATGGAGTAATCTTCCACTGCCTTCAAGATGCCATTGCCCTGAGAACAAGGGTGATGCATCACTAGCCCCTTTCTGTAAACACTGTAACAGAGATGACACCACTGCTTCTTGCCATTCAGGGATTCCCCTCTTCAGCAAAAATATTCTGTTATGAAAAATGAGTAAAAACCAGTCTAATCTTCATAACCACATCAGTCCCTCTTGACATGTAACTCATTAGTAACAGACAATCTGGAAATGTTATGAGCTCTTAAGGTTTTGAAATTGGTTTGGTTTTCACATTGGAACAACACCTGTATCTTTTTGGTTTAAAAAATGGCATGCTATCAAACCCTTTTTTTTTTTAGATCAATAATACCAGGTTTTCATTTCAGATGTCTATTCCTATCTGCTATCAGAAGTGACTGGAGTGCCCTGGATCTCATAAACCTTTCTATTGCAAAAACCTCCTCAAAATCAATACCTCATAGCAAAAATGTCTTTCAGACAGTCCTATAATCTCCTGGATATTGTTAAAGTAAAAGAAAATGGTTGAGAGTTTCTTTTATTTGAACTCACAGATTAATATTTCAGCACTGGTAACATGTTTTAATAGAGTTGTTCTGATACTTACCCGAGGTACTAGTGAAACACCGTTTGGAGAGTTGAGTTTGCACTTCTCACTAACTTATTCCTGAAAATGGGATATTACTGAAGGTTCTCTGAAAGGCAGAGGAAAAAGAGAAAGAAGCAGGACAATAGTTCCCCAAAATGGGAAAGAGGATATAGAAATTTCACAGTAGTCTGAAAGCCAGGGAGAAGAATGAGACCAAAAACCATCCAGGTAGCTGCATTTAAAACAAATATCTCACAGTTCAGACTGACATACAACTGACACACAGAGAGGACTGTCATGGTTTACCCTGGAAGTCAGCTAAACACCACACAGCCACTCGCTCAGTCCCCCGTGAAGTGGGATGGGGGAGGGAGAATTGGGGAAAAAAAAGTAAAATCCGTGGGTTGAGAAAAGAGAGTTTAATAGGGCAGAAAAGGAAAGGGAAATAATAATAATAATAATAATAATAATAATAATAATAACAACAACAATAATAATAGAATTAGAATATAAAAAACACGTGATGCACAGTGCAACTGCTCACAACCCACTGACCAATGCCCAGCCAGTTCCTGAGCAGTGGCCCCTGGCCAACTTTCCCCCTAGTGTATATACTGAGCATGATGTTGTATGGCATAGAATATTCCTTTGACCAGTTTGGTTCAGGTGTCCTGTCTGTGTCCCCTCCCAGCTTCTTGCTGGTGGGGTGGTATGAAAAGCTGAAAAGTCTAAAGACTTAGTGTAAACACTTCCTAGCAACAGCTAAAACATCAGTGTGTTATCAACATTATTCTCATCCTAAATCCAAATCACAACACTATACCAGCTACTAGGAAGAAAATTAACTGTATCCCAGCCGAAACCAGAAAAATATCCAGCCCTTATTCTATAGCATTTACGTCATGCCGAGGTCCCACATTTTCTACTACATCCTTTCCTGTCTACTGATATATACACACAGATATCTATCCCTTAGCCTAAGGGCCATCCCTCTAAAATGTCTGTTAAGTTCATTTAGTCCATGATTTTGGGCTCAATCTGTCATAGTAGTCCCTCAGGGCAGGAGAAACAGTGTGTGGTATTGGATTGTTGCATGCTGAAGCCAGTTCTGGTTCCATCACTGCTGCACTTGTCCAGTTCCATCTTCACTACCCAGTTTCATCAATACTCATTCCTCATTAATCTTCATTAATCTCCATTTATTTATTGTAATACTATATTTGTAATACTATTGATATGGCAGATAGCAACCATTGTAGTGACGACTGTGAGAGACTGAAATGTCTTACGACTGTCTCAAAGCTTGCTTGTGTCTGTGCAAACCTCCAGGAGAAGCTGCTGTGGCCTGTGAATTGGTCTGGGGGATGCTGCCCAGGGAAGTGGGAGTGTATTGAAGGATGCACTCTCCACTTCTTGGCAGTTGCATTGTCTGGACTCTTTACAGAAGCCTCAAAGGGGCAGACATGGACTGAGCTGGCCCCATCCTGTAGCCGTTTGTGGCTCTATTGTGTAGGCCAGACCCCATGCATGCATTGATAATGAACTGACAAGAGGCAAACTCCTCCTTTTGACTCCAGATGCAACAAAACCTGTTGGACCAGAGAAAAAAAAAACAACTAAAGGTGAGCAGATATGCTGATCAGCTGGTAGGATGAACTTTAAAAGGCAGCAGAAAATCTTGTTCTTTGTGCATCCACCATTGAAGCCAGATCCATGTGCATCCACCACCGAGGAAGCGAAGACTGAGGACCAACAGGGCGTGTCATGGTGGTGACTATTCTTACAGTCCTATCCTGCATCCTTGCTTTATTTCTGCCTTTTCTTTTTATTCTGTCCTATAGCTAACCCTCTTCACTTTTTTAATAATAAAAAACCTATTTTGGGTGTATGGCATTTGACCTCGTTTGTGTCTTAATCTTGCTCTTGGGATCATATCGAAACCTCCCCCGACATTGGATCAGGACAACGACATACAGTATTATGTAGCAATTAACATCACACAATTCCAATCACTGGCTCTTCTCACATGTGAGGTACACATCAGACTTCTACATTACTCACCAAATGCACCCAGGCTCTTAAGTAAAACAATCCCATGGATGAGTTTGCCTTTGCCTGAAGCAGGAATAACCCAGACTGTCTTCCTCAGCATATTTTTTCTGTGAACTCTAGGGACTTTATCCCATTCTATAGTACATAAAAGTTTGAATAGGCAGGGTCAGATCGATTGGCAGATGCTCTAGATTTGACTAACCAGGTAGCTTTTACTAAATGTGCATACCAATGTTTAAATGTCCCAGCACCCATTGCTCTCAGTGCAGTTTTTAACAATGCATTATATAGTTTGATTTTCCTGGAGGCTGGTGCATGATAGGGGATGAGATGTGCCCATTTAATACCATGCTCTTTGGCCCAGGTGCCTATGAGTTTGTTTCAGAAATGAGTCCCATAGTCTGACTCAATTCTTTCTGGGGTGCTGTGCCACCATAAGACTTGTTTTTCAAGGCCCAGGATATTTTTCCAGGTGGTGGCATGGGGCACAGGATATGTTTCCAGTCATATGGTGGTTGCTTCCACCATCGTAAACACATGGCAACTTTATGGGATTGTGATATAGTAAATCTGCCAGGGCTCCCCATATTTATATTTCAGCCATTGTTCTCCATACCAGAGAGGCTTTACCTACTCGGCTTGCTTGATTACAGCACGTTTCACATTCATAGATATTCTGTGCAATAGTATCAATGGTTAAGTCCATCCCTTGATCACAAGCCCATATATATGTTACATCTCTTCCTTGATGGCCTGAGGTGTCATTGGGTCATTGGGCTATAAATAATTCAGTCTTACGTTGCCAGTTGTGATCCACCCAAGCCACTTTGATCTTAGCAGCCTGATCCACCTGCTGGTTGTTTTGATCTTCTTCAGTGGCACAACTCTTGGGTTCATGAGCATCTATATGATGCACTTTTACAACAAGGTTCTCTACCCAGGCAGCAACATCTTGCCATAATTAAGCAGCCTAGATGAGTTTACCTCTGTGCTGCCAACTGATCTGTTTCCATTGCTGTAGTCACCCCCACAGAGCATTTACCACCATCCATGAGTCAGTGTAGAGATAAAGCACTGGCCATTGTTCTTGTTCAGCAATACCTAAAGTCAGCTGGATAGCTTTCACCTCTGCAAACTGACTTGATTCACCTTGTCCTTCAGCAATTTCTGTGACTTGTCATGTGGGAGCCCACACAGCAGCTTTTCACCATTGATGTTTTCCTACAATAGGACAGAACCCATCAGTGAATAGGACATATTGCTTATCATTTTCTGGTAATTCGTTATACAATGAGGCCTTTTCAACATGCGCCACCTCCTCCTCTGGTGATATTCCAAAATCTTTGCCTTCTGGACAGTTCATGATGACTTCCAGAATTCCTGGGCAACTGGGGTTTCCTATGTGACCCCGTTGTATGATCAGTGCAACCCACTTACTCCACATGGCATCAGTTGTGTGATACGTAGAGGGAACCCTCCCTTTGACCATTCAGCCCAGCACCAGCAGCTGGAGTGCCAGGAGGAGCTGTGATGCACTATCAACTACTTCTGAGGCAGCTTGAACTCTTTCGTATGCTGCCAATATCTCTTTTTCAGTGGAGTATAGCGGGCCTTGAATCCTCTGTATCCCTGACTCCAAAACCCTAAGGGTCAAACTTGAGCGTCCCCTGCTGCTTTTTGCCAGAGGCTACAGGTAGGGTCATTCTCCCCAACTGTAGTGTAGAGCACATTTTTAACATCTTGTCATGCCTGGACTGGTCCAAGGGCTACTGCACGAACTATTTACTGTTTAATTTGTTCAAAGGCTTGCTGTTGTTCAGAACCCCATTTCCAACTGATTTTCTTCTGTGTCACTTGATAGAGAGGGCTTATAATCAGACTGTAATTTGGGATATGCATTCTCCAGAACCCCTCAATGCCTAAGACATGTTGTGTTTCTTTTTTCATAGTTGGTAGAGACACAGCTGCTATCATGTTGATCACATCCATTGGGATATGATGACGCCCATCTTGCCATTTTATTCCTAAGTATTGGAGCTCCTGTGCAGGTCCCTTGACCTTTGTTTTATGTTAAAACCAGCTTTCAGGAGAATTCGGACTATTTTGTTCCCCTTCTCAAAAACTTCTTCTGCTGTGGTGCCCCATACAATGATGTCATCTGTGTATTGCAGTGTTGTGGAGCTTCATCCCATTCCAGTGCAGTCTGGATCAGCCCATGGCAAATGGTGGGGCTGTGTTTCTGCCCCTGGGGCAGTCGATTCCTGGTGTACTGGATGCCCCTCCAAGTGAAAGCAAATTGTGGCTTGTATTCTTCTGCCAAAGGAACTGAGAAAAATGCATTAGCAATATAAACTGTGATGTACCCCTTGGCTGACTTGGACTGAGGTTTGTATAGAAGTTCTAGTACGTCTGGCACAGCAGCACTCAGTTGTGGTGTGACTTCATGCAGGCCACAACAGTCTACTGTTACTCTCCACCCTCCACTAGACTTTCACACTGGCCATATGGGACCACTAAAGGGTAAGGGAGTACTGCTGATCATTCCTTGGCTCTCCAGTTGACAAATCAGCTTATGGATGGTAATTAGGGAGTCTCAGTTGATGCAATATTGATTCTGGTGTACCATCATAGTAGTGACTGACACCCATTGACTTCAACCTTCAGCAACCCCGAAAGAGAAGTGTCCTCTGAGAGACAAGGCAAGGTAGACAGCTGTTCAGTTTCCTCTGTCTCCAAGGCAGCTATACCAAAAGCACACCCCTTTTGGGTCCTTGAAATACCCTCTCCTGAGATAGTCTGTGACAAGGAGACATGAAGCCTCTGGGCCAGTCACACTGGGGTGCTTTTGCCACTCATTCCCAGTCAGGCTCACTTCAACCTGCAGACTGACTACAGACAGGTTCTGTTCTTTTATAGCCATTGGGATCCCTCTGGAATATGAAGATGGTGCTCTCTGTACAGATTTCCAACACATGGGTTGCATGCACCTGACTTCATTTGGATCTTTGGATAGCTGCTTGTTGTCCAGGTCATCATAAATCATCTCTGGCATGGCTAATTCCCTCAGGAACTGGATGCCTCTCTTCATGGTGGTCCACTTGCATGGGTGACATAGCATCTTCCTTGAAGGGATACCTTTCCTTCATGACTGATAGGACTTGTCTCCAGAGGCTGAGGTCTTGTGCCCCTATCCAATCACCATGTCAATGCCCCCTTTCCTAGAAAGGGATTCCAGCTGCTTGGCTTCCCTACTCTGTAATTCCAACCTACTATCGCTGTTGTCCCAACATTGGAATAGCCAGGTGACAATGTGCTCACTTGAACAACAGCTGAAATCTTTTTTGTGTATTTTGCAGCTCATCCAGGGATAGAGATTGAGTGGTTGCCACCTTGTTTATGAGTTCTTTCCCTTCCTCCTCCTCGAGAGTGTTTTACTGATTAGGGATACCAATTAAACTGAGACACCAGAGTGAAAAGAGCAGGCATATTTTACTTAAAGTAACTAAATAATATTACAGAATAATACAGAAAACATAGAGTAAGAAGAGGTAGAATAGTGCACTTAACTAGGAAAATACAGGGTAATGCATCAAATCATTACTACCTGAGGGAGACAATAGTGATTAAGACAGATCCCTCACCACTTGCAGACGTTCCCATCACCCAGCCCTGCAGTGGCTGGGCAGCCCCGGTTACAGCGAGGGTTTGCAGAGCCTGTCCCGGCAAGGGGGAAATCCTGCGCGGGGCGTCCACTCACAGGTGAGGCTGCCAAAGTCACACCTTTGTTTCAAGCAAAAATACCTGGTTTCAATCTCACATTAGGTTCCCCCAGAGCCTGGCCAGGGCTCAAGGAAAAAGCTAAGGGAGTTTCTCTGCTTATCTGATGGGATTATGCACAAGATCTCACATCAGGTCTCAGGGACAGACACCTGCCTCTTGACTCTGTTGTCCTATTCACATACAAAGGAAGGGAAAGATACATTCAAGGTAGCTACACCCTCCACGCATATTTCATTAAGGATTACATTCCGGGTTAACAGTTTTGGTTCAGGGCCTGTTGCTCAGGCTTCAACACTTCCACCTTTTACATCAGGATAGGTGGTTTGTTATAACTTAATATAATACCTGTTAGCACAATGTCAGTTTAAAATACTCACGATTCATCTATAGGTCAACTCTGTCTTGGGCCTATTGTCCAAGCCTTAGCACTTCAGAGAGGCAGCCACCTCTCTTCTTCCTCCTGTTTTTGTGATGGCCCTGCTTTGAAGTAGTCTGCCTTGTCCACTTCTTTCTCCTGCTCCCTCTTAGAAGGATCTCCTTCATCCCTTATTAAATGAGCTGACGTCCGCTTCCAATATCTACTCTTGTGTGTAGGGACAATTGAGACGAGCATGGGTTGGTTCTCTGGTTCAGCTGCAGTGCCCGTCACTGGAGTTTGTGTAGCCACAGTGCCTGTCACTGGAGTCACTCAGACAACAAACATTCTTTGCAATATTAGCTGGAATGAGCAAGTGATTGCAAAACCCAGGAATTGATAAATTAATTCTTGAGACAATCAAAAACTCTGAGAAAGACTGAAATAATTAAAAGGCAGACTTACTAATGAGACTATAGGAACAAGCAAGATAATGACGTTCAGCAATGTAGTTATATTCCTGGTATTTGTAGTGGCAGACTTTGACCAACCAGGCATATCTATATACAGTAACACAGAGGAACATTTCTTGTAATTTTTATATCACCACCTACAGATGATGCTCTGTATATTTATAACAAGATTCTCCAGCCCTTGCTGTTCTCTTTTTCATCCTCCCACTTATTTTATTCAAGTAAGAAGAGAGAGATAGGCTAAAAGATACATGTAAAGGATCACAAGTGTTTCAAGAATGCAAGAATTTCAAAGTGCCTCCTGTGCATTTTTGTAAATGTGACTGGCAGGCTATTCACCAATTAAACCATTGGATTTTTAATGCAATGCCAGCCACTGATGTAGAAGCTGCAGACAGAGGTGACCATAAATTCCTAAAGCACATTCACTTCCCCCCTCACCTCAGAGCATGGGGTCTGATTGATACAGCCACTTCAGAGAAGTGTGTCTTCATATTTGGACAGATGTCATCAGTGGTTGTGTCTGCTTAGCAAAGTGGTACTTTGTGTCCCACTATCCTGGTCCCCAGGAACATGCCATAGCCATCACCTAACTCCAAGGTAGCACAAGATATATGCCATTCCTTGAGCTATCTAAGGAAGGAAGCCCAGGTGACTGCAGAGATGGGGATGTGAGCTGCGGTGTTGTGGGCAACTGCAGCACAGGTCTGTGGGGAGCACTGAGGAATGTATTTGCTCTTCAGCATGCCCATTCTTCACTGCACCCTTTCTATGCATGTCACCAGTGACTCATGTCCTCCTTTCCATGACTCAGCCATGCCAGCAGAGGGGAATGCAGTAGCCTGGTGGAGTGGATTGAAAGTGCAAAAGAGAGCTGTACACTGGAGCTTCAACTGCTTATTCTTTTCAGCCCCTCAGCCTTCCATCAGCTGGAGTAGACTGGTTAAATGAATGGTCCTTGACCTCCCCAGATTTAATGCATCTCTTGTGGAATGTCTGGGGTTTTTTTTGTTTGGTGTTTGTTTGTTTGGGTTTGGTTGTGTTTTTTTTTTTGTTTTTTTTTTTTTTGTATTTTGTTTACCTACCTGTCTCTTTTCT